TTATTTTTTTCTTTCTTTTCTATTTTTTTCTTTCTTTTCTTTTCTGCACCTTCTATTTTTTCTTTTTGTTTATATTAGTTTTTATTGTTGTAATTGTAATTTTTAACAAAATTACTATAAAAAAAAAAAGAAAAAGAGGAGAGATTAAGCCTTATTCTCCTACACAGTTGTATAACCTATGGTTACAGCTACACTAGAATTTTGAGTTATGCAGTTGTTTGCCAACAGCAGCAATCACTGCTTCTGAACAACAGACCAGCAGCTGGGTTCATGATGGCCCAGGAAGATCATCCTGCAGATCAATGGGTCATTCTAAACCTATCTTTATAGATATCATCACTTATAAACTGTAAATTTTATCCATGATTTCACCAGTTAGCACATCGAATGTCAGAAGATTCTCCAAAAATGATGGAGCAGAATAATGTCTATGTATAACTGACAATCTGCAGCATGGATTACGCATTTATTCTTTTTTATATGAAAGCTGGGAAGTGGGGTTACTAATTGGAACTTACTAAAGAAATGAACCTGAGACAGCAGCTTCAGTTCAGTGTTTGAGATAAGACAACCAAGCAAATCTTGGTATAGTGTTATGCACAAGCCAAGATTGAGCTGCAGAAATCTAAAGAAATGCAGAATTTCTCTAGATTTTCTTATCAGCATCCTTTCAGTTAACAAGCCTTTTCCTCTATTTAGGTGGATGTTGTTTATGCAACCTTATAGGAGAATAACATTTCATCTTGGTTTTTCTCAGATGTTGGACTATTAGGCAGTGCCCGTGCCCTGAAGCCTGCCTTTGAAAGCATAAGGGCTAAAAAATTATTTTTATTTAAATTCACAGTCCTGCACCGAACTATACAACACAGTCTTTAGCATCTTTATTTAGAAGTGTCATGAAATTTAATGGGGCTTGATTTCTAGACACTATCACCACACTACCAGACCTAGTTTTCCCAAATTTTGAAATACAAAATAGTCTTCCACTTAAGCATTTTGATTTTTGTCTGCTAGTGTCTTCCATCCTGTGTCTATACAGATGGAACACAAAGTAGAATTTGGACTGCGCTGTTTTATAAGGCCCTCCTTCCAATTCCCTGGTTTTACCATACCCCTTTTCAGTGCTTTTTCTGAAATTGGAATCCCATATTTTTTGCAAAGCTTGAGACACTGAGTGTAGACATAGTGGCAAGCCAATCGATGCTGGTCCACCAATTCTCCCATTTCGCCCTCTAAGGTGGTTGGAAAGCAGTGACCGTCCACAACTCGGTCTCCAGACCTCACCAGTCGACATTGTTCCGCAAAGGCTAAGGGATTGGTTTTCCTCTGCAAAAATAAGACAATGTTTCTGTTATAAAACAATACTGTTGTGCAATATATTTGCTTGTACTGCTGAAGCTGTAACATGGTGAGAAGGTGTTTCCAGCAAAAATAAAAGGACACAGACAGTTCCTTTCTCACCAGGAGGAAGAACTCAGCTCTCTGTGCAGATGCTTACTGAAAATGGACTGAAAAACGTTGCTGTTCAGATGTGGCAGGACCCCACTGAACGGGGACACTTAGTATATAGCAATAATAGCAACTTTCCAGCAACCGCTCTAGCAATCAATTCTCAACGTCAAAGTCAAATTCCAACTTATAAAACTTCTGCCTTACTGCTAAGGGAAACTTTAGAGGGCATGCCCACTATCACAAACAAGTATTTTAGCTTGGATGAAATTGGTACTCAATGGGTTTTTCCTATTTGCACCTGCCATGTCCCCATCTTACACCAAACAGGTGTCTATTGTTAAAGGTGTACTTTTCCCATTATCCCAACACCTTCCAAGTACAGCTTCAAGATGTGTAGCATCTCTTAGGCTAGATCGCCCATTATCTTGGAGGAAAGTCAGGTGACTGTTAGCATTGGGGAACAGTGGCAATAGACAGGATAGGGACTGGCAACAGGGACAGCAGGTTGCTAAGGGTATAGTTTTTAACCAACACAAGAATGGCTAGAACAGTTTTAACTCAGCAGTGGGGAAATGCACTTTCTGCTTCCTGAAACCCTTGCATGATTGAAACTGGATGGAAATAGGAAAGCTGCTGTCCAGGATCCAGGGAGGGCGCTACCCATCTAGCACAGGATTAACCAGCAATTCTGCTGGGCTCTTCCAGAGAGATATAGCGGCTTCTATTGCCTGCTTTTAAGTGGATATTGAAAGGGAATTATTTTGGCAGACACGTCAGTGAATTTTGCTCTCCTTGGGCTTTTACTTTTAAACTTCTATTTTTTACTCTTCTCTGTTGCTGTTTCTTTCCCCTAGATTTCATTTGCTTAAACGCCTAGTGATTTACCCAAAGATACTATAAGCCCTCTTGGAACAGCCTTCTATCTAGAATTCATTCTTACTTTACGCAGCCAGCCTGTAGTCAGTTCCCATGATCCAAAGGAAATGACTCGAGGGTAGAGTCACGCCACAAAAATACAGTACCTTGAACCGTCGTCTCATTTCCTTGTATCGCTTCCCAACTATTTCCATTTGGTTATAAGTTAGCTGCATGCGATCTGGTTCAGTGCTGACAGGAGGAACTTGCAAATGGTTTGACTTAGGTTGACAAGAAACATGAGAAGATGCACTGGGCTTGGTATGAGGAAATACATCTCCTTTTGCAATGGTGGATGCAATTTTTACCACAGGTAATGGCTCTTCAGCATCATTATTAAAATGAGGAAGGGAAGAAAACAGACACCAGATTATGAGGCCATCAATATTTCTTTCTCACTAACCGCCTCATCCCCACCCAAGAACCTACTGAGCTGTTTTATCATGCTGGCTTCTACTCTTAGTTCAGGAAATAGTTCCTTAGAAATTAGAAAAATGTACTGTTTTACAGTGATTTTCAACTGGAATTCACAATAATTACTAATCTCCATTGTTTTTAGGTATCTATTAAAATAAACAAAATAACTAATGATATATGTATTCATATGTATATGAATGTTGCTTATTTTCTTGTATAGATTAAATTACCGAGCTACAGCCAATCCTATAGCATTATGTTACTGACTGGAATGTCAATTTGTCTTAAGCTATTTAAGTATTTCCCAACTTGATATCCTTGACATATGTTGGGATTACAACTCCAGAATTTCCAACTAATTTCAAAAAACCTTAGATATTTCTTTATGATACCATTTATGTAAATTAGATCTACAAGGTTAAAGATATCAGGGACCGAAAACTATTCAATCATTTGTATTGATTTGGTTCCTTATTACCTTGCTTTGGCTGTTTCCAGTTCTCCCTTACATTATCCATCCATATTCTCTGACATTCAGCCAAATCAGCAGCAGTTATAATATGCCCTTTCTTTGAAACAGTGAGATAGACAACGATTTCTTCTAAGTCACTTTTACTGATAGGCACCTTGGTCTGGAAACAAACAGAGAATAAAAATTGCAATCAGGTCTGGGATTTGAGATGGTGATAAAAATCCAAGGGGAGAAAGCTGTTTCAAAAATAACAGTTCCGTACATTGGTATCTTCTCAGTGTAGCAAGATGTGTACAGACCATGGCCTAGTTGCAACTATTACTATGTGCACAGGCCCTGATTTAATGAGCAATATGTGTATGGAAACAGAACGTGCAGTCTTTTTTGAGAAATCATACAGTCCATTGATTACAATACAAGTACACCTTGAATGTCAGCATGTTACAAACTGGTAATGCTCATGTGATTCCCTTAACTAAAAAGTACTATGAAGTAGCTGGAATTGTTACTTTTTACTAAGACTCCCATGCACATACTATATTTGCACCCACAGATACCCTCATTCAGGTAAGGATACGTGAATGGAAAGCTACTTTCATATAACATGCTTCTAAAGAATTAGGGTGTATAAGTATTTGTTTTAATGAATGAATGAATAATCAAGTATCTTTTATTAACCATAGATCACAAGAAGCTGAAATGTTACATTGAAGGTTTGGTTAAGGATCCCAAGAATTAAGATTTCAACTTCTATTTTTTCATCAGACTTTACTGTCCTCATGTATTTATTTTGCTCTTAATCTATCATACTGCAGGGAGCCAATTCAGGAACAAACTTTACAAGATTAATAATTAAATAATAAAATCCTCTAGTCATAGAAAATGACTCTATATTTATCTAATATCAATCTGCAAAATAGAACATTTTAGGTTTTCCATGTATGTGAAGCCCTTTATTGTATTTGTAAACTATGAACATTATGCAAACCAAACTAAGTGATTTATTCAATGAACTACAGTTAAACAACCATGCAGTCACATTTTAAAATGTTTAAATTGTTCTCTGAAGGCCAGTATTAAGCCTTATATGAAACTTTTAAGCTTCTGAAATGGCACCCCCCCACAAAAAAAAATTACACAGCTGAAAATTGGTGGCTTTACTGTTATATTTTGGCAACATGACCTGGAATTGCACTGGGGAATGCAAAATGAAGGCTGGGGGTTGTATGTGTCCTACAGGCTTCCCACAACTAGCTTAGCACATTTGAATAAATCACAATGGATAGCATTCGACATACTAAGCCAAAATGCCCCCTTCCCTCAGATCCCACATTTTGGCTTAGCTCAATTTGAGAACTAAGCCTTTACATTTATCCTTAGCCAACTTCACTATCTATGGAATAGAAAAATATTGTCAATGAAGAAGAATGACCAAATAAAAGTGCCTACTGCCCCAATGTGCAATTTTCCCCTATTAAGGCATCAAGAAAGAATCCCTACATTTGCACTTATCTAACTAGGGACTATGAGAGCCAGTTTGATGTAGTGGTTAAGGCACTAAGCTAGAAACCGGGAGACGGCGAGTTCTAGTCCTGCCTTAGGCATGAAGCCAGCTGGGTGAGCTTGGGCCAGTCACCCTCTCTCAGCCCTAGGAAGCAGGCAATGGTAAGTCATTTCCAAATCTTGCCAAGAAAACTTCAGGGACTTGTCCACGCAGTTGCCAGGAGTCAACGGTGACTCAAAGGCGCCAAATAAACAACAACTAGGGACTATAAGATTTCTCTACCTACCTCTTGGATAATTCTAAGGAAGTCCACTCTTTTGAACTTCATTGTCCTGCTCCTGTCAGCTTTTTTGAAGAGATCCATAAGCTTGAGTTTTTGCTTGTGCAGAAGATTTTGTAGTGTAATAATAGATGTAGGATATGGAGCCTGAATCAGAGGTGCGGTTTTCAGTGATTCACTCTTTGGTACCATCTGCAGAAAGACATCCAACATTTTCAAGGATTGTACTCAACTTTGTTTTGATGAAGAAGAAATGCAAAGGCTTGGTTAGTTCTTCAGTCAATCAACAATCAGTTGTATTGCAAAACACAAGCAGACTGGTGAACATATTACTGAAGGCAAAAAAACCAAACCAAAACAAAACCAGACAACTGGTCTGACATATGTCCTATTTTTACCTCACTCTTCAGGCTTCTTTTTTACATTCACAGGTCAAACTTACCAATCCAAAGTTAATTAAATTATAATGTACACAATACATCTAATTTTCTGAGTTTTTGACACACTGAACACTAAACTAACCACATGGGCTGGGTTTGCACAACATGCAAGGCTACAAAGTGCCACTGATTACCTGTGTTACAAGCATCTTTTGCCATAATCCAGCTATGATTATGTCTGATTGAGGCAGATTCTAGGTGGAGATTTAACTAAATCTGTATCTCACAATAATGCACCATGACTGAACAATTTCTGTCTCTAGGTGTATATGAAAAAAACAAGTCTATCTGTATTGTGTAACCTTCACAGTACGACCCCCATCTGTATTCTAGAAGATTCTCCAATTAGTTAACTACCTATGGGGCAGGTCTGGCCCAGCTGTGCTGCTGATGAAGACACATGAAGTGTTCCCTTATTCAAAATTTTAATCCTTTGGGCCACTGCTCTATTTTAGTTCAGCACTAATTTGGAACTCAAGTGGCCGAACTGCAGAGGGAAACTATGCTTTCAAGTGGCAGTGTGTGTTTCCAAATTTCATCTCCTTAAGCAAGCCATTCCAAACTGGTGCCTTCAAGAGGCGCTCCAGACTGCAGTTTCCAGAATTCCTAACTGTAGACCTACGTGTCTGGAGAAAACCAGACTGGAGAAGCCTGATTTAAGTATCCTGAAAAATGGAAGTGAGCAATGCTTCAGTTCTTTTAACAATCGTTGCATCTGATTGAAACAAAGAGCTGAATGAAAATGTGCAACTCCCGAGTCTAAGAGGCAACAGTAAAAAAAATTTATATATATCTTAAGCCCCTGCAAGAGAGTTGAAAAATTGAGGTACGTGAATGAGTTCTTAAACAAATTGTTTAATTATAGTAATAACAAAAAAGAAGCCTCATCCCATATTATACTGATGCTCTGAGAACATTACCAGTAGTGCTGTTATATATGTGCAAGGAGAAAATGTGAGTTCATTCTGATACTGAAAAATAATGTCCAACTTCAATCATTTTTTAAGATTAATTCTATTATTTTTGTTTCAGGCTTCATTCAGTGGATCTCAAAGTTCTAGCACCCCCACTCCAACCCCCCCCCCCAAAAAACAACTCCCTGGAATCTGTGAGCCTGAAGATATGTAACACATAATGTACCTACATGTATGAGCATAAGCACAGAAACTGGCAAGACAGGATCCAGTAATTTTCAGGCCAGATAGAATCATTATATAAACACCAAGTCTGTATAAATACAGTATATTCTCTGTCAAGACCAGGAACAGAATGTTCCAGTCTGTTGACTCAAAAAAAGCATGAGGAAAAGGCTTTAAACTCAGGAATAGGCAGATATATAGGGCTTGATCCCTGGATTCTGCAATAGACAGATATTCTCTGCATATATGACTTCTTTCTTGTCTGCAATAAAGTAATTTATGTAGCCATGTCTGTGCAGCTGCTGCTATAAGCAAATTCAGAATTGAGTGCCCATAGTACCAAGATTTATTGCTCCGCCTGGTGTGAAGCATGACTGAGAAGTGAGGTTTAATTTTCAGGCATGTTGACAATCCAAAGGATTTGAGTTTCTGGGACACTGTAATCAACTACGTATTGGATTTTTATCCTGTCCTTCCTCTAAAGAGCTCAAGGCACTCCATGTTCTTGCCTTATCTTTACTGCAGCCCTCAGAGGTAGGTTGGGCCGAGAAAGAGACTGGTTGTGCAGCTGGCTCAAAGTCACCTCATGAACATCATGGATACAAGGACTTTTAACTGACTTCTTAACCGAACTCATTTAATTGACTCATTATAGTCCCAAGATCTAATCCACAAGTGGAGAACCTCTAGACTTCCAGATCGTGTTGAAGAACAACTTACATAATTCTTCCTACTGGATGGGCCTGCTTGCAAATGCAGTTTAGAAACATCTGGAGGGTCAAGTCATAGGTTCTGTACCATGATACCATGATACCATGACTTCCTACAAGGCTTACCTTAACACTGTGGAGAGCCAGCAAGTCGGCTTGAATTTTAGCCTTCTCCTCTTCCCTTTTTTCTTTCATTTTTCTCAGGATGCTTTCTTCCTGCTGAGTGATAGACTTCTTTTCAGTCAACCATTCCTCAAGATTTACACAGTTGTCCAACAGATTATGCAGTTGCTTTCTCTTCTCAATCCAGGCTCCCAACATTAGCAGGTCACTCTCCTCAGTGGAAATGCTGTCCTGGGCCTCTGGAGATGCTTTCAAATCCTGAACCTGCTCCACAACACTGGGAACAGGTGGCTGAGGCTTGCGACTGCTCGGAGCCACCCCGCTCATGGGTGGCGCAATAAGAATACGCCGTCTAGATTTAGGTGGGCCAAATCTATTTGATTTCAATTTAAGGGAAAAATGTGGATATGCATTTCTGAATTTGTACTGTTTAAAGCAATGACTTAAAATCCCATCTAAGGGGCATTCTTTAAGTGAGTCTTCATTAGAGGCGGAGTCACTTTCACTGAAAAGAAGGAATTTGTAATACAGTCAAAATCAGTAAGACCACTCATCCATCCATCATTCTTTTTTAAAATAAAAATACCTAACTGTAGATCTGGCAATATTAATTTTTGGAAATGTTATTTTTTCTTGGAGATAGAAAAAATAATATAATCAACCTAAGCTTTCAGCAAGATATTGCAGACCTTTCCAGATATGGAATTTTTCAGAAATTATAGAGATAGAATAAAATCTATCTATCAGAAGGCAGCTTTCATTTCTTAGGTCAGTGTTTCTCAACCTTGGCAGCTTGAAGATGTGTGGACTTCAACTCCCAGAATTC